AAAAATTAAGGTGTCTATTTACTTGTGACCACTCAGTGTATATATATATATATATCTATGTTTCACATTTTTATTGTTGTACTGTATTCTTTTTAAAGAAACGTATAGTCAATTCCTGTCTTTATATAAAATTTCAACGATGTTATGATTCATTGTTTATGATATTTTTTCTAAAGTGCGTGTTCTATGAAATACTGTGTATTTAGTACAGTGGTTCTCAAAGTGTGGTTAGTGGACCACTGGTGGTTCGTGAGGTTCCTCCAGATGGTTCCGAACTGTCCCAAAATGCAAGTCACTGGCGCACAACACCACCGCCAAGGCCACACGAGAGAACAGAACAGGTGGAGTAGGACAGGTAGGTGGTTCAGAGGGTCTTTTGCCCCACTGAAGTAGTGCGAAGACGAAAAAGTTTAAGAAACCCTGATTTAATAAATGAATAGTTTTAATTCAGAAGAATGAAGTAGAAGATGATATTTGGTATTTAATGAAATTTTAAAAATACAGCAAAGTTTATCTTAGGTAGACAATTAGATTACAGTTCAGAAAGACCGAATTCAAAACAATAAAAATCAAACCATACCTTGAATAAACTCAAACGGAAGAACCCACCATGGGTTCTTTAACCAAGAGATGTAGAGGAACCGGCAGATGTTTCCTATCAATCCAATACATAAAACCTGGGGGGGAAAAACTAAAATTAGTTGACGAATTATAACTATATCATTCTATGTTGGAAAATAAGAATCCTTCTTATGCTAGAATGTTTACTGTATAAGAAGAAAGAATATCTATAGATCATTTTGGCAGCAAAAATACAAATATTCGTTAAAGTTTGGTGTGACACCACGCGATTTTTTTTTCTTATCTCATTTTTTAACTTTTGGCATATCCTTCAGTTTAAACTTCATTAATCTTAAAAAGGCTTCGAACCTTTGTGTGTCCGATCTGTTTGATGAATTTAAAGCTGAAGAAGTAGGCGAATATCTCAGAGGTGTGGTTGATAACGGAAGCTACTCCAAACAAGGTGGGAGTGCCTCCCAAATCCTGAAGATGCCAAAATAAAAATGTAAAAACTAGTCCGATCCCGAATCCCATGAACCAGGTGACATACAGGAAAGCTCCATAGCGGATGGTTGCAAAAGTTCTTAAGATAGTAAACCATTCCGGTAGACGGCGCATGGTTTGAGCGAACACTGTGCTCTGAAATAGTTGTAAAAATATAGAAGAAACGGGTTATTTCAAAAGTCATTCAATTAATAAAATTAGTGGACACAAATAACAAAATTAAGATGCGTTAAAGGCAATAATATGTTGATCTTTTTTGATTTAGGAGAAAACAGTAAACCGTTTCTATGCGCAATAAGCAGTTAATTCTGAATAACTTGGGGAATTCGCCATCTTTTTTAAAGGTTTTGGGAACTGACGAAACTAAAAGAGCTGAAGTGACTTTGCTTCATTATCTTTTATTGTATTGAAGTAAAACGTGTAGATATGTTATTAATGAACACGAGTTTGTGTGTAACGTAGTAAACATTAGAGTAACAACATTAAGTAAAAACAACTTAAACCCCAGAGTTTATTTTAGCGACATTTCGACTTTCTGGATTTAGTGGTTTACGTAGCTACTATAGTTGTAAAACGTTCTACCAATAGGATCGTTTAAACTGGTAAAATAAACAGTTTTCTTGGAGCTTAAGTGTTTATTGCTTGAAAAATCAATATATTCATCATTGTTTTTATTACTTCACAGTTCAAAGTTCTCATAATGTTGGTGGGTCATTTGTATAGTTGGTTGGAAAGCCAACAGAAAGGTTAACCCGCCTACCAAAAATAATTAATTAAACCACAATGGAACAAGACTCCTATTAAATAACTTGTTGAGGCTTAATCACTAGGTGGTTTGTCTTGCTCAAGGGCGATTCTTGTTGGCAAGGGTAACATTAAACTGATTAATTCTAAGTATGACGTAATGAAACTTCGGACCATCATATATATGGATCGAGCGCTCCGAGATTAGGATGGCTAGAGTTTTCTTGAGTTTAGTCTGTCTGAAACGGATGGATGTGTTAGAGATAAAGAGAATAACTGATATTTAAATCAAATTTTCTCTTTATAATCTATTTAAAGCAAAACGAGAAAAATCTTTAAGAAGTTAGGATATTTTACAAAGTTACTCGTGCCAAGAAAAACGTCGCAAACAAGTTGAGATAAAATCTTTAAATGGGAACCAGCTAAATATATATATATATATATATATATATTGGTATTATACAAATAAATATTAATGTTCAGGCCTTGTCCTTTACTGAATAATATACTAGTGTTGTCAAAAAAATTAATAATTGCAGAATTAAATGACACACAATAATGAACGAACTTTGAGGTTGTTAAAAACTGAAGTTGCGAAAATCGGAATTTATTTTAAAAGACTTTCTATATCCAATAAAATAGCAGAAGTTTAGTTTTTACACCGTTTTAATAATTTAGAATAATGGCTGTCGTTACATATTATCATATGTTTTTAAAACATTACTGAAAATGGCTTGAGAGATAATCCAATTCTGAGAAAGAATGGAAAAAGGTTTCCATAAAACTTACTTTAGTGGTCTCTGGCTCTTTCGCTGGCTCTGGTTCAATGTCTTGGTCAATAACCAAAGTCCCTATCTTCATAGTGGCTCCTTTACGTTCAGGCTCGTGTTCAACAGGTTTCATGGGAACTGTGTCTTCAATAGCTTCATAATCAAATCGGAACTGGGTTGCAGAAATAAAAGCACACCCCATCAACACGGAAAATGTTGCAAAACAAATTGTATAGTTCCTTTCTCGATAATGAGGACCACAAGGATGATCCGTAAACGACGTCGATTGGTCCAAAGCTACGCCTACAAAAAACATGGCCAATCCCCAGCCTAAAGAACCGAACATTCGCTGTTTACCGTAATTATCTGTGTTATCTCCTAAGTAGGAGAGCGTAGCTGTATCCGCTAGAGTAGTAGCAGGGGCACTAAAGAACTCCCCCAAGATAATGAGAAGCAAGAGAAGGAAGAATACCTCTTGAACATCTTCGTACCTGTAAACTATTGAACTGTTTATAGGAGAGACGTACGTTTCGTGCTCTTTCCGATTATAATTCAGGGTGTACTCAACATCATTAGGTGAAAGTCCCACCACAACACCTGGTGGGGGTTTGTGTCTCTCTTCCTTAAAGGACGCTCGTTTGTTTCTTGACAAAGCCCGATGATTTTCGTGCTCGTAATCCATAGCTAGCCAGTCCTCTTCTTCGGATAAGTTGAAAGCGAGATTGGGAAGATCAACCTCTTCAATCACTTCCCTGTTGAGAGAGCTTCGTTTTTCACGCTGTGTGCGAGGAGTGTATAGCAGGTGGTGCGTGTCGTTGTAGATGACGCAAGAAGATGCAGGTGGGTAGATGAAATCCAAAGCTAAAGTAAAAACAATCCAACAAAATAACGAAAATAAAAGCATTACTTTTCCCTTCCTAAAACGATCGGCCAATCCTCCCCACAAGGGGGCACTGAGGAATTCTATGAAGGGCCGTAATCCTATAAGCAGACCACTCTGGGTCGCATTCATTCCCATTTGTTTAAAGTACACAGCCAGTAGTGGAAATAATGATCCGAAAGCTGAGAAAAAGAAAAAATAGAAAGTTTTAGAAACCAGCAGATCTTGGTTGACATTAATAAATAAACCACCGATGACGTCACGCCTAGAAGTGAACCGTTCTTCATTTTTTAATGGTTGTGTATTTGACATTTCTCTTGATGATTTCATCTCATTGCTTGTTTGATCTTCTTCCTCCAAATGCTTCATTTCCACCATTTTTCAACAGCAACTCATATAAATGAAGTTAGTTTCTTTCGTAGACAGAGAAAAAGGCTCGTATTCTAACTTAAAATGTTACCTCATTATCTCAGATGCTGAAGAACAATAAACGAATCAGTATATTTTTGGTTGAAGCTTGTGATGTATACAGAAAGATTTTTTACAAAACAAAATTCCTGATCCACTTCCGTACTTGCTGTTTTCTTTTGTCTTGACAACTGCAATACATAAAAGAGAATTTTACGCTGCTATTTAAGAAGCAGCTTTGGACCTTAAAAAATATTTGAATTAATAATACTTCAGTCCTTGTGCTTACACTTGCCTAATAACGGTATTTAATGCAGTTTCACATTGATTGAGCTTGAGACATCTGTTCTAAGAAGTTAAGCTAAAGAGAGTATTTTTGAATATATTACAGGGATAAAAACAGTTAATAAAGTACCGATTACCAAGTGTTACGATTTTTATCATATTCGGGGGAAATGAGCTTGAATATAAATAGCATAGCATTTCATTCATTATTACAATTCAGTGGTCTCTACCCATACAAATTTTCAAGCTATACAAAAATGGAATATTCTATTGAGTTTAAAATAAATTGCTGCCCCCAGTGGTACAGCAGTATCTCAGTGGACTTACAACGCTAGAAACCGGGTTTCGATACCCGATGTGGGCAGAGCACAGATAGCCCATTTTGTAGCTTTGTGTTTAATTGCAAACAAACCAATACTACTATATGCCTGTTGCTTGGTACCCAAAACCAGCATCACCTCTAAGGACAGAAATATTCTCAAAACCGTAGGGGAGAAAAATCGTTCTTAATAAAGTTTAAGTTTGGCTGTCATAATAGAATCCTTCTCAACAAAGAATACAAATAAGTCTATAGCACAGAACAAACACACCCACTAGACCAGTGGTTCCCAACCTGGGGGTCCGCGTAGGTAATACCATCTCATTAAACAAGTAAGTTTTTTAATACTGGTGTTTATTTTAATTGCACACTCAGTTATATATGTCTTTTATTTGATAGTAAAAAATGGAAAAACAAGTTAATTATTAGTTAGTAAAAACAGTTTGTTGGGTAGGGGTCTTTAGTGGAGTAAAGGTTGGGAACTACTGCACTAGACCCTGTTTTCTTATCCTACAAGGGGCTAAAGCAATTATAGCCATAAAAATTGCAAACATAAGATGAAACAATTTATTTAGTAATAAGAATACAAAGGGATATATATATAAAATGTCCTAGTTCTCAAAGGCGACTCGTTTAATTTGCAAAACTACTTAAAAATAGTTTTCTGATACAAAAAAAAAACTTAAATATTGAAGCAAACTTCGTATCCTGACGCACAAACAAGCTATCGCATTGCATACGTATGACATGGCCGCAGAATTTTACTTTAAAATACCTGGTTCGATCTGTAAAACAATAACACCCTTTGTGGTTTTAAATATAAAGTTTTTAGAGTATTGTTATTTAACAGTTAATTTGTCAATTCTTACTCTACATATTCTCGTGTTTATATTATTGAGAGGCCAAGTATGTGCTCGGTTAACTAGTTGTGCGTGTAAAAATGTTATAAATTTAGACTTTTAAAACGTTTTGTGAAACACGATCTCTCTAGCTGTTTACCTGTTTCGATAGAATTGTATCAGGATCAACCAAAGAGAGACTAATGCAAACACGGAGTCTGTTTTAATAGAATCGGATCAGGATATTTTGACGAAAGATAACGAAAACACGGAACCTGTTTCAGTAGAATTGGATCGAGATCAACTGACGAAAGGCTAATGCAAACATGGAATCTATTTTAGAAGAATTGGATCAGGATCTACTAACGAAGGATAACGAATACACGGAGTCTATTTTAGTAGAATTGGATCAGATCGACGGACGAAGGATAACGAATACACGGAGTCTATTTTAATAGAATTTGATCAGATCGACGGACGAAGGATAACGAATACACGG